TCTTCAGCATCGTCCCCACCATTGCGGACATCATCATCAGCATTGTTTACTTCACCTCGGTCTTCAGCGCCTGGTTCGGCCTCATCATCTTCGTGTGTATGAGCCTCTACCTGAGTGAGTGGGGTGCAGGGGTGCCATTCTGGCCTGTGGGGCAGCAGGCGCCTGCCAACGCGGCCTCCTCCTGCCCACAGCTCTGACCATCTTCATCACTGAGTGGAGGACCAAGTACCGGCGGGACATGAACATGCGGGACAACGAGGCCAAGTCCCGGGCCGTGGACTCGCTGCTCAATTTTGAGACGGTACCGTGGCAGGGGTGTGTGTGTGTGTGTCACTGAGCACTGCCCAGAGCTGGGAGGTTGATCCAGGCACTGACCCCAGCTCTGTGTCCTGCAGGTGAAGTACTACAATGCGGAGAGCTACGAGGTGAACCGCTTTAATGATGCTATCGTCAAGTACCAGGTACAGGGTGCTTAGCACCAGCTGGAGAGTTGTGGGGGAAGGAGCTGAGCCTTACAGGCATCTGCATGGGTCTGGTTTGGATGTGGCAGCAACCTGGAGGACCTTGACTTTTCCAGGTCTCAGAATGGAAGGTCAGTGCCTCGCTGGGCCTCCTCAACCAGACCCAGAACCTGGTCATTGGTCTGGGACTGCTGGCAGGGTCCCTGCTCTGCGCCTATTTCGTCACCGAAAACAAACTGCAGGTAAGGCTGGTGCCATTCTGTGTAGCCCCCTGCCCGAGGTGGGGCCCTGGAGCTGGTCATGATGGGCACCTCTCCCCTGTCTCTTCCAGGTGGGGGACTTCGTCCTCTTTGGCACCTACATCATCCAGCTCTACACACCACTCAACTGGTTTGGGACTTACTACAGGTAACCCTGGGAGCTGTAGGGTTGCCTGGGGTCCTCCTCCCTGTAGGCATCTGTGTCAGGACGTTCTCCCCCGAACCCTTCCCCCTGGCCTTCTCCTCCCCCTTCCAGGATGATCCAGAACTCCTTTGTGGACATGGAGAACATGTTCGAGCTCTTTAACGAGGAGCAGGAGGTGAGTGCCACCTTCCCAGCCCCCACTCCCTGGCATGGTCCCGCAGTCCTGCCTTGGGGACAGGCTGGCTCTGAGGCCACATGTCTCCCTGTGGCAGGTGAAGGACGCGGTGAACGCCGGTGACCTGCACTTGGAGGCTGGGCGGATCGAGTTTGAGAATGTGCACTTCAGCTATGTGGATGGGTATGGGGCAGCAGGCGTGGGGTGCCAGGGTGGGACAAGTTGAGCTATGGGGACTGGCACAGGGATGTGGGGCAGTGGAGGTGGCCCTGAGCCCTTCTCCATCTCACTCTCCCAGGAAGGAAATCCTGCAGGATGTCTCCTTCTCTGTGATGCCCGGGCAGACCCTCGCTCTGGTGAGAGCAGGACTTTGGATGTGGGTTCACTGCTGGAAGGTGGGGTGGGGAAGGAGGGCCTGGGAAGTACGGGGGTGGAAAGGACAGACCCCCAGTGGGGCTGGCCCTTCCCTGCCCAGCTCCTGGCCTCCAGCAGCTGGGAGTCTCTGGTGTCTCCAAGTCCCTTTACCTTCACGTGCAGGTGGGACCTTCTGGCTCAGGGAAGAGCACCATCATCCGCCTGCTCTTCCGCTTCTATGATGTGCGGGGCGGCTGCATCCGCATTGACGGACAGGACATCTCCCAGGTGAGGGTGGAAGGCCTCTGGGGACCAGGGTGGGGGACACGCCAGCTCCTCTGGGCCTCGCAGCACTGCTCAGTGTGGGCACTGGCACCTCCCCGGGGCAGGGATGAGCACGCAGCCCCCACAGCCCCTTTGAAGGCTGACGTCGTGCCCTACACCCCAGTCCTGGCACAAACTGCGGGACTCCTGGGCTGAAATGCTGGAGACTGGCCAGGCCTCCCTGGGAAGGTCTCCCCACCACAGGGTGGAGATGCATCTGAGCCCGTGGAACCCTGGAGCACCCACCTTGCAAGTAGCAGGGTCTGAGGCTCGTGGGTGAGGGGCGGGATTTGGTTTGGGGTGCGTCTGGCTGAGCTCCCTCCCCTGCCTCCCCAGGTGAAGCAGGCGTCGCTGCGCGCTCACATCGGGGTGGTGCCCCAGGACACGGTGCTCTTCAACGACACCATCGCCAACAACATCCGCTACGGACGGATCCCGGCCACCGACCAGGAGGTGCAGGAGGCAGCCCGGGCCGCTGACATCCACGACCGCATCCTCTCCTTCCCTGACGGTGAGACCCCTGAGGTCCCCTCCTTGCCTTCCCTTGCTGTCCTGGGGTCCCCCCTGGCCTTGTAGCTGCCCTCACAGGTGTCCATGGGTGCCACCCCACAGGGCACATGCGTGACCTTGTGCCTTGCTTTGCCTCTCCCTGCCGTCTCTCCGGGGCTAAATCAGCCCTTGGGCAGGGACGGGCTGAGGCCGCACCAGGCGGCTGCATGGTCTCGGTCAGACCCCCCCTGTGCAGCAGAGCCCTAGTCCCCATCCTGGTCCCGGAGGGCACCAGCACAGGATGTTCCTGCCCTTGTGCCTGCAGGGTACAACACCCAGGTGGGGGAGCGGGGGCTGAAGCTGAGCGGAGGGGAGAAGCAGCGCGTCGCCATCGCTCGCACCATCCTGAAGGGTCCCCGCATCATTCTGCTGGATGAGGTGAGGGCAGCAGCCCCCAGCCCAGCCCGTACCTCAGCAGCTGCCCACACTGCCCACATCCCTTCCCCACGCCCTGCCTCTCCTGCAGGCCACGTCCGCACTCGACACGGAGACCGAGAGGAACATCCAGGCCTCCCTGGCCAAGGTCTGCGCCCACCGCACCACCATTGTCGTTGCACATAGGTAGGGAGGAGACTGAACTGAGTTGCTGAGCTCTCTGAGCTGGCCAACCCCCTTAGAGGGGCACACAGACCTGTCTGCCTGCTCAGGAGGTGACAACCCCTGTGATAGCAGCTTCCCCCCAGACCCTCGTCCTTCAGAGCCAGAGTAACCCTGCCCTTCTCTGCAGGCTCTCCACCGTGGTGGGTGCAGACCAGATCCTGGTGCTCAAGGACGGGCGCATCACAGAGCGAGGGAGGTAAGCGCCGGGGCAGGGCTTGGTGCTGTCTGCCCATGGGGACCCCCTCCCTGGCTCTGGGGCCAGCTCAGGACTCTACACCCCTTCCCATCTCCCCACAGGCACGAGGAGCTGCTGCAGAAGGGTGGTGTGTACGCTGGCATGTGGCTGCAGCAGCAGGCTGGGGACGAGAGCGAGAGCAAGGAGCGCCACACTGAGGTCCCAGGCAGCAAGAAGGGCCCATGAGCATGGCCAGGGACTCTGCTGTGACACTGACCTGGGGCCCAGGCCCCACCGGAGCCCTTTGCAGGCCACAGCCCGGGGCCTTGCGTAGCCCAGGAGCTGCAGGGGCTGGGTTGGACACTCCACTACGTTTGTACCTGTTTGTTTTGCTGTTGGGTAGTTTCTTAAACCAGGTCCTTCCCAGATCCGTGCCTGTGTGCTCTGGGCAGGGTGCAGGTGGGGGGCCCACGCTCTGGGCAGGGGCAGACCAGCAGCTCTGTCGCGGGGCTGGGCTCCTTGCAAGGGGCAGAGCAGGCTGTCAGCACCTGCCCTGTCCTCACACAAAGGGCTGGGCACAGCCAAGGGCTGTGCTCCAACAGCAAAGTAGTGCAGATTGTGTTCGCTTCACCTCCTTGTGTCCCCATCTGCAGAGATGCGCTGCTCTGGGCTGGACCCCAAGAAGCTGCTCCCCCAAAGCACCTCAGAACTTTGTGCTATGCTTTTATTTTTCTCCTAAGCAGCACTTTGACAAGTCTCAACATTCCCTCAGCCCAGCCTGAACCCACCTCCAGCCTCAGAGAGGCACTGCCAGCAGCTAAACACTCCCACCCCCATCCCTGTCTGCTCAGACGTCCGCTGCTTGGAACAGGATAGCCCAGCCCTGCATGGAACCAGGCACAGCCTCGCAGGCAGGAGCAGTTCCAGCAGGGACAAGGTGGGAAAGCAGCACTGCTCTACACAGCTGCAGACCCTCCCTCCAAGAAGACAGCAGGACAAGTCCACCCTCCCCACAGGGATCAGCTCCTGCCTCCAAACATCAGCAAGGAAGGGCTGACTCCATGCTGCAGGCCAGGTTTGCAAGAAGGGATTCTGTGCTGCTGCTACCTAGGAGGGATCCCCTGCAGCACGGCTGGAAGGAGGGAGGCACTGCTTGCCACAACAGCATTAAAACAGGGCCTTGGGCTAGTTTTGCTCAGCAGAAAGCTGCAGATCTTCCATGCAAGTGATGTCGGCATAGTCAAGTCACTGCTGAGGTAACTTCTCAGTTAATGGCCCTTGTTAAACCAGAAAGGAGAAATGCAGCTCTGTCCAGTCTTGGCGAGATCCTGGGCCACAGGTGAGTCGGGTAAGGCCCAACGTGCTCTTGTGCATGCAGATGGCAGGGGAGGCACCACGGCATGGGCAGAGGGGAGGGGGCTGCCAGGAGGCCACACGTCCAGCCCTGCTGTGCCCGTGCAAGGCACTGTGCCAGCCCCCAATGCTCCCGCCTGAGGGGCTGGCACAGCCCTCCCTGGAGCATGGAATCCAGCTCCCCGCTACTGCAGCAGGCAGCTGCATCCTGGCTGCATGTCCTAGCATGCAGAGATGTCCCCAGGCAGCACTGCCCTACAGGCTGGTTCCCAGCAGTGCTGGGACACGGTGGCAGCTGTGGCTAAGTGCACACCGTGCCTGCTACTTGCTTTGGTCAGCGTGTGCTCAGCCTTGTCCCATAGTCTTCACCTCTCCAGGAGCATCGGCTATTTGCCACACTGATTTTATACAGATACTAGGGCTGAGGTGTCAGTGTGTGTTTGGCGGCTCACTCGCAGCCCCCAGAAGATGAGATGTGCACAGCCACGGGCTCTTGTCTTCAGTATCCAGGCCAGAACCCACGGCACCCCCACTGGGAGGCCAGAGCCACTCCTTGGGTCACGAGCAGGATCCCACATCTGCTGGCACACCCTGCCTCACTGGCCTACGACATGCTGCAGTTTGAAGGCTTTGAACCATGTGTCTGGAATGGGAAGTAGTACACAGTGAGCAAGAAAAATGGGCTTCTCCCTCTGTCCTACAAGGGGGCACATCCAGTGCTCATATCCCCAGGGCTGCGCTTGGCAGCGACACCACTGCTGCCCCAGGCTGGGCTGCCCTCCTGGTGAGAAGAATGAGCCCAGACCGAGCCCAGCGGAAGCAGAAGCCAGGGGGACGCCACCACAACAGGGCCGCGGTGCAGGGCCTGCAGCCAGCCTCGCTCACCTGCCGCTGTGCCTGCTGGTACTCGGCTTCGCTCGCCGACAGCGCCTGGGCCAGGGCCAGATCCTCCTCCTCCTGCGTGCTGCTGGGGACAGAGGTGCGCGGTCTGCCTCGGGCTCCCACAGGCTCGCCCGCCCACTGCTTGGAGCCCTTCGGGTGGCAGGATTGCCTGTCACCACAACCCTCCAGGACAGCCAGGGGCAGGGAGCAGCCGAGGATTGTCCTGAACAGGCCAGGAACCAGAGGATCCAGCTGGGGCTGGCAGCCAGCACCCTGGGCCGAGGAGAACCACATTATCTCCAGCCTGTGAAGACTCTGCGTTCAGCAGTGCCAGGCAATGTGCTCAAGGACATGGCCTCCTGGGTGTCCTCTGTGAACACCCCACTCCGCCTCTGTCATGCTGTGGCCATGCTCATGAGCTGACACGTGGTCAGACAATGGTTTGCCCTACTCTGTGCTGTCAGTCGCTCTCCCCTCACAGCACCCCAAAGGGCTTGCTAACTGAACAGAGCTTTGTGACGGCTCTGGACTCTTCCTTTTTTTCCTCCCCTCATCAGACACACAGAGGCATCATCTGGAGCCGCATGTTGAGCGGAATGTCAGCCCAGAGCCACATGATGCTGCCCCGGGCACCTCACACACAGGCTTGGGGCATGACACCACGTGTCCCCGAGCAGTACCTGGGTGGCTGCACTGAGCTGCGTGCTGACTCTGCCAGGGACATCTCCAGAGCACGCTGCAGCGCCTCTTCCTCGCTCTGAAACAAGACATCTCATCACCAGCTTGCCCAGGGCTGGCAGGAGGCAGCCCAGAGGGACAAGCGGCAGGTACAGTCTTTCCTGGCCACAGATGGGTACATCTTCCCTCTCCAAGGCCAGGCACGGACAAGGGGAAAGCCTTGGGCTCAGGACAGGCCTGCAGCTCGCTCTCCCCCTGCCGAGGGAATGTAGCTCTGCCTGCCAGTGCTAAGAATACCATTGGGAAGCACCTTCCAGTTTCCTCCTCCACCCTTGGCTTGCACAACAGAAAGGCAACACCCAGGGAAAACGGCCAATGCACTTTGTCCCTTTGGAAAAAGCTGAGCACCAGGCACAGCTGAGAACTGCCATTTGCAGGCACCAAAATGAACACTGATGCCCCACTGAGAATCTGGAACCCCCATTTGCCAGGGAAGGCCTATCTGGGGAGCAGCGCGGTCACCTACAGAGTGTGGGTTAAAAAGCTGTTGCTGCAGTAGCTCCCCAGGGCACAGGAGCCACCCAAACGTACCCCAGATGCCCAGACGAGGCCACTCACCAGCCCATTCTGCAGCATGACAGCTGGAGGGGAGGTGCTGCGGGTCTGCAACACAGCGGCTCTGCCTCCTCTGCAACAGCAATCACAGAATATTATGGGTTGGAAGGGACCTCTGGAGATCATTGAGTCCAACCCCCCTGCCAGAGCAGGACCAGGACAGGTCCTGAAAAGAGGGAAGCCGAGTTATTGGCAAGGCAGGGAACCCTGCTCCTCCCACAGACAGCCAAGCATGCCCACCTCAGAGTTACAAGTGGGGCCATCATCACCTTACCCGGCAGAGGGTGGAGAAGAGGGGCTGTCTGCTGGCCGGGCACCTCCGCTGCTCGATGCAGGGACTGTTTTGGAGGAGGATGCCTGGGCTCTCGCGACTGCAGCATGCCTGGGACAGACAGGATGCACCTGAGCAATTTTTAGCATTGCAAGCTATGCCTGGGCACTGAATAACCAGGGAGGTGAAGCTGGAGAAGTGAGACACCTCCCTGGCTCCCCGCTCCTTTACCTTCTGAGAATGCATGTTGTGGCTTGGCTATGCCCAAGAGCTTCAAGGGTCATTTCTCTCCTTGAAACACTGTGCCAGGAGGGGCAGAGCCCACTGGCTACGGAGTATGGGGCTGGGCAGAGAAGCAAGAGCAGAACGGCCAGCAGGCAGTACCAGCAGCTTTTGCTACGGGAAGGAGACGCTGCCTATACATCTGTGCTGACTCCACAAACCTTAACGCTGCTGGAGGACACCCCAGCACACGGGGCAGGGAGTGTGGGAATGCAGCAGTCCCAGGGAACAGGCCAGGAGGAGCTGGTCTTCTTCCCTGTCGCCCATCTGGCAAGCATAGTCCCATCCATGCTAGCCTGGCTGTCCCTGGGCTCTCACCCTGCCTTGGAAAGGGGACGCCCTGCCCCGCTGCAGTCGTGGTCCAGGGGGTGTCGGTGCTTGAGGCAGTAGTTCTTGTGGCACTGGTCACAGATCACCTTCATCATCTCCTTCTGCTTGCAGCCAGGCTTCAAACACTTGTTGGTGAAGATCTGAAAGATGACAAGGCACTGGTGAAAAGAACATGGGACTGTCCTTCCCTCTGTGCCAGGCCCCAGGCACTGACCAGGCTTCCCCAGCAGTGCCTCTTCCATGGGGCTCTGGGGTTTGTCTCTGAGTACTAGTTTTCTTCAGATAGTTTATTAGTAATTCACTAGTGCTTCAATATCTGTAGACAAGGGTCTCCAGGATCACAGAACGCACAGCAGGAGAGAGACTGCCTCGCTCAGGAACTCCTGCCTCCCCTGCCAGCACAGCCCAGGGCCCTCCAGGGGCTGCTGGGCTGCACTTCTGCAGGCCCAGCTCCCTGCAGCAATTTCCTCTCCCAGCAAGACAGGGCAGCTAATTGCTGAATGCATTTTCCTAATGGCAGCACGTGGTTTCCCATCCTCGTCCCACACGGCTGCCCAGCCCCACTCCATCCGCTACCTCAGGCCACAAAGCCCTACAGATGCACACAGCTCCACTTCACCAACCCTGCCTGCCCCCAGCCTGTGCGAACGGAGACAGCGTGGGGCAGAGCCGAGCCCCGCGCCGTCCCTGTGCCTCCCCCAGGCTCCGGCAGGGACCCGGCGAAGCCCAGCAGCACAACAAAGCCCTGGGTTCCTACCTTGCGCTTGCGCTGCGCAGGGTCGGACTTGCAGTCACGGTCGATGTGCTCACCCACCACGACGTCGGGCATCTCCCCCCGCCTCACGGGGACGGGGGTGTTGCAGAGGGGACACACGGGGACTTGCACATCCTGTAGAGGCAAGAAAAGGGGCTGGGAGCACGGGCAACGTCAGGTGCTGTGGGCCATCTCTCTCCTTTCAGGATCTCCCTGCCATGGCTTCTACAGTGTCCCCTGTGATTTGAGATCCTGCTCACCACCCTCCCAACAGCTTCCTGGTTGCTGCCCCAGCAGGTGCAACAGGCACAGACACACGCTCTGGGAAGGGAGGACAGATGGGCTGGAAGACACCCAAACCATTTCTCCTAGCAGAAGAGGGCAGGCCGGGAGCCTGCAGCACCGACACAGATCCTGGCTTTCAGGGTCTGAAAAGACCTACAGACTCCGCACACGTCCCAGGGTGGGTTGCCCCAGCTACCAGAGAAGTCACAGGTGATTCTGATGTCCGCCTGGGAACCGCTGAGCAGCTCCAAGCAAGAGGCCGGACTACAGCTGCTCTCTGCACTTACCTTCTTGTAGGCAGAGGTGCAGTCGTGCTGGGCGTACGCGATGTGGTCGGTGCAGAAGATCTGATCGCAGGCGTCGCACTTCAGGGGCAGGAAGTCTGGGAGCGGGGAGACGGGCGGGCAGGGAGCG